CTGACCTGGATATAGAAGTTCTTCTGTCAAAGTTTGATAACAGATGAAATGATTTGGCCTGACAGTTACACACACACTTCACCAGGGTGAAAATAATCACCCATGGCAGAGAAGCAGTAACTTTGGGAACTGAGAGAATTTGAAAGCTACGTTTTATTTTTTAACTACTTAAACTAGACGTATTTTCCTATGCTAAAATGGGCTTTGAAATTATGATGACTCAGACATACACTGGGCTTCCCTTGTCGCTCAGCTGGTAAAGAATCTGCCTGCAATGTGGGAGACCTGGGTCCTATCCCTGGGTTGGGAAGACCCCCTGGAGAAGGGAAAGGCTACTCACTCCAGTGTTCTGGCCTGGAGAACTCTATGAACTGTATAGTCCATGGGATCTCAAAGAGTTGTACACAACTGAGCGACTTTTACTCATTCACTGCCTATGCTAAAATGAGACTTTGAAATTATGATGACTCAGACATACACTACTTTCCAACAACACTTGTGAATGCTACAATTAATCCAGTAATTCATTTTATTGATAATGTACAATTAGGATGCTAAGTGATCTGAACATATTACTTCTCTTAATTTAAGTCTTTTACACCCATTATAATTAAGCAAAGCAAAGTTAAAATCATACACATAATAAGGAAAGTAGTATTAAAATAAATGAAATAAGATTGTCCTCCATACTCAGTTTAACTGCCACAAAAGACTATTACTACATCCTTTTACAGATGGTGGGGCTTCTAAACATTGAGCCCATAAATGTATTAACACAGCCTGAAATTGAAGTTTAACTCCTTTGACTTGGAGCAGAATCAGTTCTTTTCTTTGCTGCTGCTGCTGCTGAGTCACTTCAGTCGTGTCTGACTCTGTGTGACCCCATAGACGGCAGCCCACCACGCTTTCCATCCCTGGGATTCTCCAGGCAAGAACACTGCAGTGGGTTGCCAGTTCCTTCTCCAATGTGTGAAAGTGAAGTCGCTCAGTCATGTCTGACTCGTAGAGGCCCCATGGACCGCAGCCCACCAGGCTCCTCCGTCCATGGGATTCTCCAGGCAAGGGTACTGGAGTGGGCTGCCATCGCCTTCTCCGTTTCTTTGCTAAGTGTTTATCATAAATAGAGATCTCCTCTTGCAAATAAAATATTTAAGCATCAGAATGGACCTCTCTTTATGACCTACAAATAACCGTTCAATATTTAGTTGTTAAGCAATATGTGTTTTTCTTGGGATAGTTTTAATCCTTTGAAAGACATTTCATTTTTGAACATTTAGAAAGAATATACACCTATGTGTGCTGGCATGTAGCAGGAATTTCTTAAATATTTCTTGAATTTCTTCCGTCAAGAAGTTATTTACACAAAAAACCACTCTTAATTATTTGACAGGCTGCTGGAAAACCTTAAAGCTGGTTTTCTCCCCACAATTGTATACCACTGAGCAACCTGAAAATGCATAGCACTTTTCACTTGGATGGAAAAATTAACATAACTTGAGCACCCACTGTTTTTCACACACATCAGGCACTTTTTAAAAACATATATTAACTCTTTAAAGCCTTATTGATTGGAATAATCCTGTCAATAAGGTACAATTATGCCCATTTCACATATAAAGAAACCATGCAAGGGAATTATATATCTCACCTGATGTATGAAATTAGGACGTGGTTTAACCAGGATTTAAATCCAGTGGGGTCTGATTCCAAAGTCCATATTTCCTCTGCAATATTATATTGCCTCTTGTATATAGACCTTAAATTTAACTCTATTCTAGTAACTTCTCCAAAATATTGAGACCTTTCTTGTTAATATGGGCTGACTTTATTAGCATGGTGGCCATATTTTCCGTAGAGAAATGGTAATGTTTAACCTGATAAAGAGTTTTAACTCCAGTGTTAGGTTAGCTGGAAGTTAGTATGACAGAGGTTAATTTCTGATAAATGTAGGGGCAAGAAAGGATTCGAGTTGGGCTATCTTGAAATATTCAGGAGGATGGATATAATCACAGGTTGACATGTTTGCACTAATTTATAAATTCTGATGCTAAGAAGTTTTTGACATAATTCCTTAGACATTGGGATTTGGCACAGAAATGTTTTGATAGGTCTTAATAGACAAAATAGACATTTTTAGTCTATTTTCAACTAAAACCTGCTGAAGCCAGTGATTTCACCCAACCCCTGAGCTTGTGTGCTTAAGTGCTCAGTCGTGTCTGACTCTGCGACCCCACGGACTGTAGCCCGCCAGGCTCCTCTGTCCATGGGATTCTCCAGGCAAGAACACTGGAGTGGGTAGCCGTTCCCTTCCCCGAGTGTCCTGCCTCCTAGCCGGTCCCACAGGGACTGGAGCTGAAATCTAAAGAGTTGACCTGCCCACAAATGTGGGCGCCCCTCATTCTTTCTCCCGGTTCCACAAGCCCAGGTGGGCCCAAGGCCTTCTCGGGCTTGCTCCTGGTGGTGTCCGCTAGGCCATTCCCACTGTTAGACCTGCAGCTACTGCTTAGGGCCAAATCCTCGCATCTTTTCTGACTTTGAGATTCCTGATCCCACCCCAGAGTGTGCAGCTCCTGGGAGGCTGAGTCCGTCTGCTCACTCTTCTTCTGTGAGACAAACCTCATCCCCAGGCCCCATCCACTCTGGAATTCTGATGAACAGAGTCTGGTCTCTCATTACACCCTGGTGGTGCTTTAGGGAGGCAGTCTCAGCGAGGAGGCAGGGATAAAGTGAGTCAGAAAGAGAAAAACAGATACCGTATATTAACGCATGTGTGTGCACTCCAGAAACATTAGGTCCTGATGAACCTATGTTTGCAAAGCAGAAATAGAGACACATGGAGGACGGATGTATGAACCCCAAGGCTGGAGGGGAGTGGGGTGAAGTGAGAGGTTGAGATTGACATGTAGACACTGCTACGTCTAAGACAGACAGCCCATGAGAACCTGCACAGTCCAGGGGAGTCTGCTCAGCGCTCATGGAGACCTAAACGGGACGGAAATCCAAAAAAGAGGGGACACGTGTCCCACAGAGCTGATTTGCTTTGCTGTGCAATGGAAACTAACGCAACCTTGTTAAGCAAGTTCACGCCAATTAAAAAAAAAAAATACTGTCTGACCAAGAGACCTCATCGAAACAGGAGTCACATCTTCACGGACCATCCGGCTCTCCTCAGAAGGGCAGCAAGGGCTCGACGCACCGCTCCTGCTTTTCTCTGTCGATTCTTTGCTCCTGAAATGGTCTGAGTTTCTAATATCTGTCACCCTTACAATTAAAGCAGCTAGAGAGCTGGGGTTCAGATTGCCCAGGAAATACTCAATTACACTTCTAACATCTTTTTTGGAGTCTTTATTAATATAAATGTGTCATATTTAATATCCTAAAACTAATTTCAAATGATGGCTTTGGGGAAGAGATTAATATTCTCATAAAGGTTAACCCAGTTTTTTATTATAGACTTACTTTTGAAATGTAATTGTTATTGTAATAAAACTATAAGGCCTTAACTTGATAGCTTATTCTATGAAATTATTAAAACCATTTCATTGTACCTACACAACTATGGGCTTCCCAGGCGCCACTAGTGATAAAGTACCAGCCTGCCAATGCAGGAGACATGAGAGGCGTGGGTTCAGTTCCTGGGTCTGGAAGATCCTCTGAAGGAGGGCATGGCAACCCACTCCAGTATTCTTGCCTGGAGAATCCCATGGACGGAGGCGCCTGGTGGGCTACAGTCTATAAGGTCACACAGGGTCAGACACGACTGAGGCAACTTAGCACATAGGCACTTCTACGCAACTACACCCAACTGTTAGAATAATCCAGATGTTGAATAGAGTACAGAACAAAAGTTTTTGTCATAGCCGGAATGGTAGCCAGCAGATTAAGTGTGGGTCAAAGGGGGTCTATTTTTCATATTATTGACTGCTTTTCAAAAGATATTTTTAGTCTGATCAAGCTACATGGAATCGAAATGACTAAACTGGGATGCATCCTTTGGCAAAGTGGCTGCCCCAAAATGCCTGTATCAAAATAGCTGTGTCATAGTCTGACTGAACATGTATTAGACTCTCAGCATGCATTACACTCTCATCTCTCAGAGTTGTGTATCCAGGGTTAGGCATGTTTATGGCTGAATGAATGCTTGACAATAGTCTTCTAATATAGGTAGAAATATGGTCATTAGAGTGGGTTAATTAATTTACCCAGCTAATATTCGCTGGGTAACTACTATAGTCCAGATTTCTTTCAATAATAACTTTTCCTGGGACTTCCCTGGAGTCCAGTGGTTAAGTCTGTGCTTCCCCTGCAGGGGGCACAGGTTCAGCCCTTGGCAGGGAGAACTAAGACCCCACATGCTGCATGGTGAGGCCAAAAAAGAAAAGTATATATATTTTTTCCAATATTTTTCTCTTATTATCAGAATCTAAGATCACTGAAATCTTTTTAAAATAATTTATTCAATGTGAATCATAATTCATGAAGTTAAGTAAATTACAAGATATTTAAGGAGGAGAAATCCCATATGTGCCAAGATTCAGTGTACTAAGTGTAACCAGTGAGCGGGTTAACTGTCTCAGTTAACTTACTGTCTCAGGGAAGTCATGACAGCTGCAAGGTGCACTAAAATCCATTTTATAAACAAGTCTCTCCTCTTCGCCACGTATGAGTAGGCAAAGCTTGAAGTACCCTTTGCTCACAGATTAAAATGTTTTAAATCATGGTTTCTTGTCTCTTCGAAAATTGGCTAGTCAAGGAATATGATATCAAGCATACAAAGGGTCCATGCGCTGAAAAGCAAACTCATTATAAAATTCAGATACCTATCTAGCTAAGTCAGCTTCAACTTACAGCCTGTATCTTAATAAAATTCTGTGATTCTCACTTAAAAAGTAGCTGTGACACGGTGCCCACGCAGGCGCTGCACGGGTCCGGGTCTGTAGCCTGCAGGCTTGCGGGCGAGGAGGCAGCCCGCACCCGTGACGTGTGGCGTGTCTCCTCAGCCTTGATGCACGCCCTGGTGTTCGGGAATGTGACGGCGATCATCCAGAGGATGTACTCCCGGTGGTCCCTCTATCACACCAGGACCAAGGACCTGAAAGACTTCATCCGCGTCCACCGCCTGCCCCAGCAGCTCAAGCAGCGGATGCTGGAGTACTTCCAGACAACCTGGTCAGTCAACAACGGCATAGACTCCAACGAGGTAAGGTGGGTTTCCCCCGTGGCCGTTCTCAGGCCGGAAGCGCACAGCCTGAGGGGACGTTCTCAGGCGGGAAGCGCACAGCCTGAGGGGACGTTCTCAGGCCGGAAGCGCACAGCCTGAGGGGACGTTCTCAGGCCGGAAGCGCACGGCCTGAGGGGACGTTCTCAGGCAGGAAGCGCACAGCCTGAGGGGACGTTCTCAGGCAGGAAGCGCACAGCCTGAGGGGACGTTCTCAGGCCGGAGGCGCACCGCCTGAGGGGACGTTCTCAGGCCGGAGGCGCACCGCCTGAGGGGAAGTTCTCAGGCAGGAAGCGCACAGCCTGAGGGGACGTTCTCAGGCCGGAAGCGCACAGCCTGAGGGGACGTTCTCAGGCCGGAAGCGCACAGCCTGAGGGGACGTTCTCAGGCCGGAAGCGCACAGCCTGAGGGGACGTTCTCAGGCCGGAAGCGCACAGCCTGAGGGGACGTTCTCAGGCAGGAAGCGCACAGCCTGAGGGGACGTTCTCAGGCGGGAAGCGCACAGCCTGAGGGGACGTTCTCAGGCCGGAAGCGCACAGCCTGAGGGGACGTTCTCAGGCGGGAAGCGCACAGCCTGAGGGGACGTTCTCAGGCGGGAAGCGCACGGCCTGAGGGGAAGTTCTCAGCCAGGAAGCGCACGGCCTGAGGGGAAGTTCTCAGGCGGGAAGCGCACAGTCTGAGGGGAAGTTCTCAGCCGGGAAGCGCACAGCCTGAGGGGACGTTCTCAGGCGGGAAGCGCACAGCCTGAGGGGAAGGCAAGTGCTTCAGTGCGGGTCTGAGGGGCGAGGCGCACACCTACCGGCTTCTTCGTCTCTTTGCCGTTAACCTCTCATGACCCCCACAGGTGTTCTTTCGTCTGGTCTCGCTTACATTTTCATGATGTCACTGGATCGGCCAGTGCTTCACAGTAGCTTCGGTCAGTCAGGTAGACATATTTTCATTCTCACTGACCCTCCTTGGAGGAACCAATTCTTAGGACAGTTGAATGGTATAATCATGGACTGTTAATCAGGGTAATTTTTACCTTTAAAGCCAACAAAGTAAAAAAAAAAGCATTTTTGTGCAAACATGTTTGGACTTCCAGAACACCCTGGACCACCGCTGTAGGTATCCTATAAGTGAGGCAACTATTCCATCATCCCGTCAACAGAGCCAGGGTCAATATTTTTAAGTGCTTGGTTGGTTTTTCCTCTCTTCAGATGAGCAGGACAGCGGGGGAAACACTCGAGGGCCCAAACTCCCTATCTTCTGTCCTGAGTTGTCTGTCAGAAGCAAGCCACGAAGTACATATGTTTCATTCTAGAGTCTTTTATTAACTGATTGTCTTTCTCCAGCGTTACTAGTAGCTGATGAGTCAGGAGCACACAGCCGGGCTCGCGGTCCCAGAGGTCCGGGCCTATTCGTGCGCGCGGCTTCCCCCTCTGCCCGCGGACGGGTCGGACAGCGGGGCAGCAGCCCTGCGCTCTCCCAGTCAGGCCGGGCTCACGGTCCCAGAGGTCCGGGACTATCCGTGCGCGCGGCTTCCTCCTCTGCCCGCGGACGGGTCAGACAGCGGGGCAGCGGCCCTGCGCTCTCCCAGTCAGGCCGGGCTCACGGTCCCAGAGGTCCGGGACTATCCTTGCGCGCGGCTTCCTCCTCTGCCCGCGGACGGGTCGGACAGCGGGGCAGCGGCCCTGCGCTCTCCCAGTCAGGCCGGGCTCGCGGTCCCAGAGGTCCGGGCCTTTCGTGCGCGCGGCTTCCCCCTCTGCCCGCAGACGGGTCGGACAGCGGGGCAGCGGCCCTGCGCTCTCCCAGTCAGGCGGCCTCGCGAGGCTGCCCCCAGCTCGGCCCCTCTCTCTCCTCCCCGCAGCTTCTGAAAGACTTCCCCGACGAGCTCCGCTCGGACATCACCATGCACCTGAACAAGGAGATCCTGCAGCTGTCCCTCTTCGAGTGCGCCAGCCGCGGCTGCCTGCGCTCGCTGTCCCTGCACATCAAGACCTCCTTCTGCGCGCCCGGCGAGTACCTGCTCCGCCAGGGGGACGCCCTGCAGGCCATCTACTTCGTCTGCTCGGGCTCCATGGAGGTGTTGAAGGACAGCATGGTGCTGGCCATTCTCGGTGGGTCTCCCTGGAAAGCCCCGTGGACTCTACTCTGAGGCGTTAACTAAGGAGATGAAAGGGGGGAACTTGTGACTGAGAGAAGGAGCACTAGGGATGAGGATCTCGATTCAGGACATGAGTTCAATCTGCCAGGTTATTATAACTGTCGTTATGCCATATATTGAGTTTGCACTGTGCTGTTACACTCAGCACCTGTTTTGACTCTTGCTAAAAAGTCATATTGTCCCTATTTTACTCATGAGTAAATAATAGTTAACTTAATTTCTCCCAAATAACATGGCAAGAGATTGAACACAGTTCTGTTAATTCCGAAAGCCAAGTTATGAATGATGACGTGCCCTGCCTCTTGGTGAAATAGCTGCTGTTTTAAGAATGTTACTGCGTTTTTGTGGAGAATCCATTCAGAAAAGAACATTGAAAACCGTTTTATCTGTGCTAGAAATAGCACAAAAATGAATGCATATTGAGAATAAGTTCTTGTAGCAATCATTAATGCAACACTTCAAGGTGATGATAGGCTAATTTTTCTCCCTCAAAGAAAACTCACAGAACAATTTGTGAAGATTTTGTATCACAAGTTGTCTCCAACTATTAAGATGCAGTCAGTGTTTGTTGAAACGTAAAGGTCAGCTAACAACAGACGAAATGCAGGGTTAATGTAGAAAAGTTCCTATCTATTGATACAATTTTATGTGTACCTCTTTTAAAAATCATTTTCATTTGTTCATCTTTTCAACTCATATTTCTCGAGGGTCTATGAATGAATCAGGTAAACAGGTAAACAATATATTTTGAACGCCAGTGCAGAACACCAATGTTTAGAATTTATGTTAATTAAAAGTGACTAATGCAGCATTTTTCATTTTTTAAAATTTTCATATTCAAGAACCTAATTTTGTGGAGAACTTAACCTCTTACAAAATATTTTCACATGTGGGACCTTCGTTAAGTTTTCCTAACACGAAGAGACAGATGACAGGTGTGTTTTTTCCCCAAGGTCAAAGCTAACCTCGGTCTTCAGACTGTCCAGTGCACTTTCCCCCTCTACACAATGCTTTTTTAAAAATTAATTCATTTTTTAATTGAAGGCTAATTGCTTTACAGAATTTCGTTGTTTTCTGTCAAACCTGAACATGAATCAGCCACAGGTATACACATGTCCCCTCCCTCCGTAACCTCCCTCCCAACTCCCTCCCCACCCTACCCCTCTAGCTGATACAGAGCCCCTGTTTGAGTTTCCTGCGACATACAGCAAATTCCTGTTGGCTGTCTATTTTACATGTGGTCATGTAAGTTTCCATGTTACTCCATACATCTCACCATCTCCCCTCTCGCTATGTCCAGAAGTCTGTTCTCTATGTCTTAAACAATGACTTTTATTCTCTATGACCATTGTAAGTATGCAGTCAGTCAATTTTCACTGTAAGCTTCAGGATAGGTTCTATTTCGGATGAGAACTAACACTGATTGCTTCCCTGATATGAGCCGAGTGTTATGTGTCCACTATCCAATTCCAATCTTGCAGCACTATTAGTCTGCTGTGATGATCCCAGTTAGAGGTGCAGAGATGGAGGCAGCTGGAGGTGAAACCCGGACGTGCTTTTCTCTGCTTCCTGATGACTTCCATTGACCACTTTTCAGAGGAGAGGTGGGGCTTGCCTTCCAAAGTTTGGATTCAACTCTTAATTCACCCCCTTATATTTTTCTCCTTTTTTTTGTTTTAATGTGGACCACTTAAAAGAGAATCTTTATTGAATTTGTTACAGTATTGCTTCTCTTTCATGTTTTGGCTTTTTGGCCACAAGGCCTGTGGGATCTTCACTCCGTGACAGGGGATAGAGCTTGCACCCGCTGCCCTGGAAGGTGGAGCCTCAGCCACTGGACTGCTGGGGAGTTCCGTGGTTTTCTCCTTGATAGAAAGGCCTGGAATAGCGACTAAATAAAACAGCAACAAGCTGGGCTCGGTGTGGCCAGCTTGTTATCAGTGTGAGGGTGAGCCTCTATGTACATGTGTTTTCCAGGAGGAGAATTGAACACTCTTTCCTGCCCATTTATCCACTCGGTGAAGTTAAAAACCAGTCATTCCATCATGTTTTATCCAAAATTAAAAGTGAGAATCCTTTGAAAATTTGCTTCGAAAACCTTGCTCCAATCATAAAATATTTTTCTGTGGGTTTCCTTAGTACCACTGTAAGTTTTGTAGCCTGCCTGTTGACACAGCCTGCTTTTAAAAGGGCATTTAGTGCCATTTGCATCAACATGGATGGACTCGGAGATTGTCATACTGAGTAAAATAAGTCAGACAAAGAAATAAATATCACAGGATATCGTTTATATGTGGAATCTTAAAAAACTGGTACAAATGACCTTATTTACAAAACAGAGACACCCACCTAGAAAACAAACTTCCGGTTACAGGGGAAAAAGGGAAGGAGGGATAAATCGGGAGACTGAGAGTGACCTGTGCCCACTGCCGTATGTGAAAACAATGACCAGTGAGGGTCTGCTCTATGGCTCAGGAAACTCCATCCAGTGCTCTGTAGTGATGTTGATGGGAAAGAAACCCAAAAAAGAGTGGATATGCGAATATGTATAACTGATTCATTCTACTTCCACCTGAAACTAGCACATCAGTGTAAAACAACTATAATCCCATAAAAATTAATCAAAATAAAAAATAAAAAGGCATTTAGTTATTTTTCTAGCAACTTATGGTTTGATATACATGTAGAGTAAATTAATGCAACATTTTCAGATGTATATATTATGGGTTTTTCCATAATTGTGCTGAATGTTTAAATTTGGTAACTAGCAACAATTCCAGGAATGGAATATGAGGGCATTATCCCTGACATTACATCACAGTAGGTACAAATTTGACAGCTTCAATGTAAATGCCATTGTTTGTAATACACGATTCTGTTGGATTTTCTTCTTTCAAAAAAACTTCTGAAAGAAAGTGAAGTCGCTCAGCCGTGTCCGACTCTTTGTGACCCCATGGACTGTAACCCGCCAGGCTCCTCCATCCATGGGATTTTCCAAGCAAGAATACTAGAGTAGGTTGCCGTTTCCTTCTCCAGGGGATCTTCCCCACCCAGGGATCGAACTAGGGTCTCCTGCATTGCAAGCAGACGCTTTCCCGTCTGAGCCACCAGGGACGCCTGGTGGCCTGTACTAACAACTAAGACGCTTTAGCCATGGCCTCGCGCCTCTGGCCCTGATTTCCTCCATCACTTGAGCTGCCTATGTTTAACATTTTCACATCTCTGCTGGTACCCTGTGCCTCTCAAAAGTGATTAAATGCATGTGGCTCTTCTAAACATGCCTATGTGGTATCGGGACCAAGCCCAAACAAATATAATAAATTATTAATATTTTCTCTCTGTGATTAACATTATCTCAATGGAGATCAACTATTTTACTTTCCCTATGGTAATATTGTCTTATCGGCCAATATAAATCAATATTGACTCTGATAAACTTTAGCACATTGCTTAAATATAGATATTTAATACATGTTCACTCTGCCAACAAAATGAATTAATACATAATATCGTAAAGGAAACCTATCACCAAGCACCTGTCAAGCCAAAATTTATTCAAGCAATTCCATTGTCTAATCAATTGTTGACGGCATCTCTTAATCTGATGCAGTTGATAGAGAGGCAGGGATTTGTTACAGGGATAGAATTTGTTTGCCTGCACACCTTCATTTCCTGTCCCAGTAATTGTGTTTTCCCACCAAGGTCTTCACTGTGATTTAAAGGAAGATGACAAAGCTCCAGTGAAGGCGCTGCTCTCAGATGGCGTTAGTCTGCCTAATTACAATTAAACATAAGTTATGGCTCTAACCAGGAAGGTTTGCAGATGCCTCCCATCAACTTTTTTTTTTCCACCAAATGGAAGAATTACTGATTAGTAAATGTCAGAAACTGAATTCTGGGTAATAGAGACTGTGCTGCTGTGCTGGGCTTAGTCGCTCAGTCGTGTCCGACTCTGCGACCCCGTGGACTGCAGCCCACCAGGCTCCTCTGTCCATGGGACTCTCCAGGCAAGAGTACTGGAGTGGGTTGCCATGCCCTCCTCCAGGGGATCTTTCAAACCCAGGTCTCCCGCACTGCAGGCAGATCCTTCACCATCTGAGCCACCGGGGAAGCCCAAGAATACTGGAGTGGGTAGCCTGTCCCTTCTCCAGCGGGTCTTCCCAACCCAGGGATCGAACCAGGGGCTCCGGCATTGCAGGTGGATTCTTTACCAGCTGAGCTACCAGGGAAGCCCCAGTAGAGACTTCAAGGGACTACAAAAACCTTCTCTTCCTTTAGAAATAAGGCTACTAAAGCCCAGAGTAATTAAGAAACTTAGATCTAGGCTCTAAGTCTAGATAGTGAATAATCCATAAAGTTGTAAAATTAGTGAGGGTGAAAATTAGGCTCCACACAAGGCCCAGCACACAGGTCAGTGATCTATAAATATCCACTGAATAGATGAAAAACCAGAATTCTTTCTAGGATGCCAAGTTAGCAAGATGCTGGGGCCTTTGTGGCTGAAATCACCGTTCCGTGGCCACTCTAGGTACAAGCGTAGAATGACCCTAACGTTTTTCCAAACACCAGTAGAAAATGTGAATTCTCATCATGGCAGCCTGGTGCGCCAAGGTAAATTCTCCTCAGGGATGCAAAGCTTGGGGCTTCCCCGGTGGCTCGGCAGTAAAGAATCTGCCTGCCATGCAGGAGACCCGGGTTTGATCCCTGGGTCGGGAAGATCCCCTGGAGGAGGGCGTGGCAACCCACTCCAGTCTTCTTGCCTGGAGAATCCCGTGGACAGAGGAGGCTGGCGGGCTGCAGTCCACGGGTCACATAGAGCCAGTCACGACTGAGTGACTGAGCAGCCTCAGCATATAAAACTTGAAAATGTGCTGTGTTCAGTCCAGCCTGGCCATATTTACATTTTACATCAGGACCCGACTTTGCATTTTTGAGCAGTAATTTAGATTTCTAACAAAACACGCAAGAAGAAAAAATTGGCAAGTTAGTATTGCTGACAATAAATTCTTCAGCACCACGTGCTGTTTATTCTCTCAGTGTCTATAAATATAGAGCTTAGTCTTTTTTCTTCTGCCAAATAGGCTCGATTTCAAGGTTTTAAAAAGATAATACCTAGAAGTAATTCAATAATTTGAGTTTTTGGTCTGCCACAATACTTATGAATGTCTCAGATATTCATGGATAAGTTGGCACATCTCCTTTTACTGTCAAGTTCAATAAAACAGACTTTTATTGAAGCCTCCTGCATGCCAGGAACTGTTTCCAGAAATTCTGAGCAAAATAAAAAAATAAACATTTAGAAGTTTAAAAATTAATTGAATGAAGAATGGTTGGGACAGTTTGTTCTACAACATTCCAAAGATATTATTTGCTTGGTGGGTTTTGGCTGGCAAATTGTTGGTTGTTGGTTCCCTACAAAATGGAACAAAGTGACCATTTGGAAAAATAAAGCGCAGGCATGATAATGTTTGAGAACAAAGATAAAGCAGACACTCCTGAGTTGTAGCCTTGAGTCCGAGGCCAGTGTTTTTTGTGAACTTGGCCATATTACCTCAGCTTTTAACCTAAGCTTGTCTGAGGACTGAATGGATTTCCTTTCAGATTTCTCACAAGGACACCGAGTGCATTAATGGCTCTGTCTAAAATAAAACTGACGCTGTAATCAGCTCTTTGCCAGCACTTACAATTATGCTCACCTTCCTGCTAGGTTAGACTGATTCAAATCAAGTTCAGAATTTTAAAGATTCAGAGAAATTGTCCAATATGATCTAATCAGCAAACTCAAGGAGATAAGCTGGGTCCCAGTTTAAGACCGATGGGCAGAGGTGTTACAGAAAATATCAGAGGTGCTGGCGCTGAGGTGAGAGAGAATGTGAACAAAGTCGTGTCAGACCCTTTCTCCTGCAGTGGAAGGGCTCACAGTTTTTATTTATTCACTTTCTTTTCTTGCTGGAGAAAATGGGGTTTTCACACTGTCACGGAGCATTAGAATTGTGCCCTTGTTCTGCATTTTTATGTAGTAGATTTCACTGTCCACGATGCCCAGGAGTTGCCTTCGCCTCTCAACTCTCCCCCTTCGCACCCGCCCCCCGTCTTGCAGACGTGTTCAGAGATAAATAAAACAACTGGAATGTATTAGAAAGCAGATGGTGATGCTTATATTATTGTCCAAAGTACTAGAATCAACATGATTAATATACCTCTTGATGGTCTTACTTCAAAATCCCGAAACATTTTTACTCAGAAAAACTGAGGCATTATTATTTCCTTTGAATAGTTAAAGCAGCTGTGACCAAAAACGTCAACTGCTTTGTCTAAAGTCATTTACCGAATCCTGCGGGGCACCTGACGTGAGCCCATGTGTGACCTACAATTTCTAACTCCCCATCTCCTAGGCTTTATTCTCGAGAAGAGTTTTCTCGACTGGGTATGGTTCAGAGTGCCAAGGGATGTTTGGCAATGTCTGCAGATACTTGGGGTTGTTATCTCTGGGGGTGGGTGATGTGAGATGCCGCTGAAGATTCCACCCTGTACAGAATGATGGGGCCCCAAATCTCAACCCTGCCGAGGCTGAGAAACCCTGCCCCAGATAAAAGGTTCCTCTCCCCTTTGAGTGCAATTTCAGAGAAACGAAGCCTGTAAATCAAATGACGTCTTTCAAGCGACGTGTCTCTTTTCTCACTGTTTCAAGGGAAAGGAGATTTAATTGGAGCCAATCTATCAATTAAGGACCAAGTGATCAAGACCAACGCGGATGTGAAGGCGCTGACCTACTGCGATCTCCAGTGTATCATCCTCAAAGGGCTCTTTGAAGTGCTGGACCTTTACCCAGAATACGCTCACAAATTTGTGGAAGACATTCAGCATGACCTCACATACAACCTTCGAGAAGGTCACGAGAGTGATGTAAGTCTCCCTTCTAATTCCTGCTGAGACCCAAACACACGGGGCCTGGAGATCATTTATAACAGCAAACAACATGTTCTGACCTCACTTCAAAAAGTCTTTGAGCAGATAAGGTGGAACTGTCCAGTCACTAATTGAGCAATTAGGTAATTAGCCAGGAGTCAAACTGGGAGCATGTTATCAATATTTTAGAAAATATGATTTATGGAGGAGTTCTCTTAAATTTTTTCTTGTTTATTTTCATTGCTGATAACCAGGGTGAATGTCAGGGGCATATAATATTTAGCTAGAGAGGTGTGATTTCTCCCGAACTTAAAGATTTCCAGATAGGGTATATGGTTCGGAGCTTGCTGCGTGGTGTGTATTCCCTACTCCACTGGCTTGATGTGCATTTTGCTTAAGAATATCTTTTTATTTGTTAACCGTGACTCAAAACAGTCTGTCTTAAAATGAGTAAATGTGTATGAGAGGATTCAAACCCAAGGTTGTCACCCTGGAAGCATAATGAACATTTTATGAAATTATATATTTGCTACATGTTTCAGTTTATACAAACAGCTTTCCTGTCAAATATGTACCAAACTGTGTCCTGTGATTAAGCCGCTCGTGAACATGACTTCATTAAATGTGTCAGAGACAAATGACTTAATAGGGATGATTGTTGGAAGGCAGGCCAGAGCATGTATGTATATCGCTCTCTATCAACAGACGCCTTCATCTGCTGCCTTCAGCTCTGACCCACATACTTACTATACTCGATTTTCCCCCTAAGGTTTTAAGAAGCGAGGCTCTTGTTTTGGCTAACCCATATTGTGGGGACATCGTCATCAGCATCCTCCAAATTGTCGGGAAAGAAGGAGCCCAAGTTGTATGACTTCCTCTTGGTTGAGGATATCAAATGGCAGGCAGAACGTAGGTGGTACCCCTTTCTGAATTTCAAGATTACTGGATTTGAATGCATGCATCTCTCCATGGATGGTGGCAAACAGCAAATAGGTGTAAATATTTATTTTGAAACTTTTTGTGTTAAGGACTCTGTTGGTATAAAACATTTTATCTAGTTCTGAAAGCCACTGTGGAAGCTAAGTGTCAGTCAGGTTTTACAGGATGGAAAACAGGTGCAGAATGGCTAAGTAACATGTGTGTCATCACACACACAGGCTCCTCTGTCCATGGAAATTTCCAGGCAAGGATACTGGAGTGGGTTGCCATGGGTTATATAGCAACCCACATATATATATATCCCCTTCCAGGGTATCTTTCTGACCCAGGGATTGACCCCCACGTCTCCTGCATTGGCAGTCAGGTTCTTTACCACTAGCAAAGAAATAGCCAACATGTCCTCAACATGGACAAATGGAAAATATTGGCTCTCAACCCCAAGTTTTGTTTCATTCAATTACGTTTAAAGAGTCTTACCTTTAATCCATTTTTTAATCCTCTTTTTGTCTTTGCTGAAACATTCATCACAGTGATTTTACGCCTCCAGTGTGTGAATGGCCAGTGAGACTGTTTTATTTATCTGTTATTTCTTTTGGGGTTTTGTTTTTTTGCTTTTGAGGTCACTTGCCCTCCCCTACATTTTTCAAACAGATATCATGACTTTGCTTCAGTGTAGATGTTGTTTATGAAAAAAGTGAAGTCGCTCAGTCATGTCCGACTCTTTCCAACCCCATGGACTGTAGCCTGCCAGACTCCTCCTTCCATGGGATTTTCCAGGCAAGAATGCTGGAGTGGGTTGCCATTTCCTTCTCGCGGGGATCTTCCTGACCCAAGAATTGAACCCAGGTCTCCCACACTGCAGGCAGACTCTTTACCATCTGAGCCACCCATGAAAAAAGGGTGCCTATTATTTTCCTTCTAGAGGGGCTATGTTTTCCTGGGACAGGCAGAGAGAGCACCCAGCGAATCGCTTCCGTCCTGCCTACAGCTCCTCCGCGGCTTTGTCAGGCTGATCTGCTTCTGCTTTGCGCCGCCCCAGGTGGTACAGCTCTCGGTCCTAAGACATGTTTCAGAGCCTCAGCTAAACTCCCTGGTGTTCCCCAGAGCTCCCCCTGCGTGACACGCCTTGACCTCCCGCCTGCGGCTGCCGAGCATCACGAGGGAACCGAATCCCCGGGCTCCTTGGAGACTGCCCGTGCGCCTAAGTGAGGAGCCGCTGGCCCCTGGGTGCCACGGGAGGGGCCTCCTCTCTGGGTTCACTCCTCCGATCCCCGAAGTCTGGGGACATGGATTGCCCTCCTCCAGGAAGACTGTTCCTTTCTCTTCTGCTCTGTGCGGCCCCGCAGTGAAGCCAAGGTTCCCTCAGAAAAGCACCGGGATAAACGTGACCCTCGGGGCTTCCCTGATGGTTCAGCGGGTGGGGAGTCCACCTGCAGTGCGGGAGACCTGGGTTCGATCCCTGGGGTGGGAAGATCCCCTGGAGAAGGGAAAGGTCACCCATTCCAGGATTCTGGCCTACATCCTCATGGCCTTCCATTTTCTCAGGGGTCAGAGCCCTTCAAGTCTGACCTGAGTTGACTGTTCTCCTTTGCTTTTTAAACTGTTATTTTATGTTTTGCCCAGCTTTATAATTATTTTTAGCTCAATATTAGCTATTTCACTATAGCTGAAACAAAAATTTATGCTTCTATACAGAGAACCCCTTCTGAGCTACATTGTTTAGGGCAAATGGGAACTGGAGCTCTGAAATCTTTATTTTTTATAGTTCCTCATCTTGTATCACTCAAAATTTATATTTACACTATATTCAAGATCCTGGTGGCTCAGTTGGTAAAGAATCCACCTGCAATGCAGCAGACGGTCTGCAATGCAGGAGATGTGGGTTCTATCCCTGGTTTGGGAAGATCCCCTGGAGGAGGGCATGGCAACCCACTCCAGTATTCTTGCCTGGAGAATCCCCATGGACAGAGGAGCCTGGCAGGCCACAGTCCTTGGAGTTGCAAAGAGTCCAAGATGACTTAGCGACAAAACCACCAAGATCCTGGGTTGCTATGCCTTCTAAAGGCTAGGTAAACTTGGACCATACTTACCAATAATTTTATACTCTGGGGGAGAAGTCGTGTGCTTTTTTTTTTTTTTATTGGGGTATAATTGCTTTAAATATTGTATTAGTCTCTGCTGTATGTATGCGTATATCCCCTCCCTTGGTCTTTTTCCCATTGATGCGTATATGTAGACTCTTGTGCTGTTTCTAAGGACGCTGTGACTTTGGTCGGGTGTGGGGGTTCCATTCTGAACCTATGACCATGGCCGCAACTGCTCTGGTGTCAGACCAAGGTGGCCCAGCCCCTCTCCTTAGTTTCCACACCCACACAAGCAAAAATATCCAATCACAGAGTTTCTGGTGGGTTGAATCCTTTGTGAAAGCTTGGTCTATGGATTCTAGAAGGAGGAACATTTGCATCATGGAAATGCAAACGGTGTGAATGTAACTTCACTCTGTATCCTTGCTCTTAAATCTCCCATGGCCACTCTGCCATGCTGTTCAGCCCTTTATTTCTGCTCTCCCCGCCTCTCCTGTCTTCATCCTCTGCCTCATCCCCAGGTTCCCCACTGTGTCTGATATGTTTTAACTCTCTCTTTGATTGGTTTGTGTCTTTCTGATTTTGCCTTCTGGATATATACCTTCTCTTACAAGTGCTTATAAACTATCAAGTGACAGACAGCATTACCAGAATATCTGGATAAAGAGTAGACTGATTGTCAACCCATTCTGAAATAAAAACAAAGAATGCATTTTAAGAGATAGTCAAAACGTATGCACGTCACAGTGAGCTATGAATCTAGAACTCTGATGAACTGTGTAACTTCAGAGTGGCAGCTCATCCAGTTAATTAAAATGTATAAAATATGTTCTGAGTTTGTGAAAAGGCAAGCTAGCACTGCTGACCTCATGCTAATTACTCTTTTTATGCACTCAGTATATTTTATATGTTTGCCCTTATTCATATCTCCTGATGACCCCAATAATGACATAGATTAATTTAGCTATTTCTGTCTATGGGGATTATGACAAATTTGCTTCACAGCTTCTCATGGTAAACTGATTTTAGCACAGATTCATCTGTTGTTGGTTGTGAAATTTAATTTGCCTTAACATTAGAATTTTGAGATAAATAATGACCGAAGAGTGTCTAAAACAAGTTTTCCAAAATTAATAGTGCTGACACACGGAAGGTCAGATACTGATATGGCTGCCTGAGATGCCTCTGGGTGTGCACATGTGGACTCTGACCTGTGGTGTGGCTGTGGAGCGACAAACGGCAATGCCAGTTTTACCTTACCAGGGGTTACTCGATGAAATTCTTTTTTTTTTTTTTAATTTTTTTGGCTGAGCTGCATGGTATACGGGGATCTTAGTTCTCCAACCAGGGATCAAACCCATGCCCCCTGCAGTGGAAGCATGGATTCCTAACCACTGGACTGCCAGGGAGGTCGTGAAACTTTTTGCCATTTTTTAAACTGAAGTATCAGAGAAGGCACTGGCGACCCACCCCAGTGTTCTTGCCTGGAGAATCCCAGGGACGGGGGAGCCTGGTGGGCTGCCGTCTGTGGGGTCGCACAGAGTCAGACACGACTGACGCGACTTAGCAGCAGCAGTCATTGAAGTATAGTTGACTTACAATGTTCCAGATATACAACGATCACAGTATAACTGTGATTCAGTCACACATATGTGTGTATTCCTCTTCAGGTTCTTTTCCTGCGTAGGTTATCATATGATAGTGAGTATGGTTCCCTTGTTCTGTAGCAGGTCCTTGTTGTTGATCTTATATACAGTGCAGTGTGTTTGTTAATCCCAGACTCCTCACTTATCCCTCCCACTCTCCCTTTGGTCGCCACGGTTTGTTTTCTGTCCCTGTGTCTGTTTCTGTTTTGTAAATACACTCATTTTTTTAGACTGCACACGTAAGCGATGTCATACGATAGCCTCCAGGTCCATCCACGGTGCTGCATATGGCGTTACTCTATTCATTTTTATGGCTGAGCAGTATTCC